AGTTATACACTGACTGACTGCAGAGACAACAGGTAATTTGGATGCACCAAGTAGAACTTTTGTTTGTTTTACAAAAAAGCAATGAGAAAAATTTCTAGAACTAGACACGCACTCACGCAAATACACACGTCTCTCACCTACATGTGCACACACTGGCTAACAAAGCCATGGTAACAGTTTATAATTTTGGCTTTTACCCTCTCACCTTCATTTCTGCTTGATTAGGAACCCATTTGACTATTGTAGAAGATTTTGCAACAAAGATCTTGCAAAAAGGTGAATATGTTCAAATGTAATCAAAGGGGTAAAAAGACAAAATTTTAAACAATGAATTTTCAAAATAATAAAATGATTTTATATCGTCATGAACACATTTTTACATTGAGCTCAATCTTCAATTATTACCATTAATTGTAAAGTTTACTTTAAAATATTTTAAAAAAATCTTTTTTCTTCTTTACATAGACCAAAAATAAAACTAAGCTCATTTTTCATGTCTAAATGTAATACATGTTTTTAAATAACTTTTGAAATAGCAATCAACTTAAATTTGGCTGGTATTTAAAAATATATGCATGATAAGTAACTGAAATTTAGAATGTAGAATTTTTCTAAAAGAATTAAAAAAAGATTTCCAAATTAAAAAAGACAAATTTAAATGGTAACATTTAAAAATTGATTCAGGAATATATAAGTGATCTGAACAGACTGAATACTTGCGCATGTAAAATGAGTAAGAAATCAAAAAGAAAAAGAAAAGAAAAAACAAAAGAAAAAACAAAAGAAAAAAAAAGGCATTTTTGGCACTTATAAGTGCAAGAGAAGTACCTAGAATTTTGTTTAGCCAGTGTGAGATTCAAAGGAAGATGTATAAAAATAGCAGAGAAAAAAAAAAGATTAATTGAAAATCAAACATTAGCAAAGGGTGGAACATATAAAAGATGAATATACAAAAAAACAAAAATAAACTATTGTATATGAAACAGATGAACTGGTGGGAGAGGTTTGATAACCATTTCAAGAATTATCTGTTAAAAATTGACTGAAATGAAAGAAAGCCAACTGAACAAGTGGAGGTGGAAAGGATGTAAATGATTTCATTCCAACAGCCTCTTTTAGCAACATCAATATATTTTATTAAAATCGTTATTTTTAAATGAAAAGTAAAAATGATTTGAGGCAGCTGAAGCCAAGAGATGTATGAAATGAAAAAAGTTTGAAATAAACCTTATAAAAAATGTTTTAAAATCAAACATCATTAGGTTATAAAAGTCATCCAAAGTTCCTTCAGTAATCTAAACTTTAAATCAACCTTAAAAAAAATAAAAATAAAATAAAATCAGACTAAAATTTCAGTTTCTTTGTAAACAATGTACACATTTAAAACCTTGCAGTTTTGAGCTTAGATTCTAAGATAGTTTTTCAATGTTGAACATACAAAGTGATATAGACATTGATATATTAGTAGTCTCGATTTGCATTCCTCTGGAAATCCTTTTATTATTTCAATCAGCACTGGTCAGTTCTGAGGGGCAGAAAATCCTTAAGCTTATCAATTTAATAAAAGCCGAAAATATTTATTTGCTATTTAGCAAGTGTAAAAAGCAACAGCAAATACGCTTCTGTATAAATGTGATGGAAAGGGGGGAGGAATGGTCGGGAGCACCATATTGTTTAGTAAGAATTGAATGAAATTCAAACCATCTAAAATTATACAAAAGGAGATATCTTTAAACCATTTTTTTTCTTGTAGAGTTAAAGAGCATGTCTACAGCATTTTGCTGACCAGGTTTTGTCATGTAAGCAGCATATGAAAGTGCAGTGATGAAAACATTTGCTGAGCATGCATCTGCTATGCAAAGAGAGACATTCAAATCTAAAGAGAATGAGGGAGCATAGACAAAAAACACATTGCAGAAAAGGTAATAACTTTACATCTAAAGGAATACTCATTACTAGTGGGTATTATATTGTTAGGTAATTCAAGTTACAAAAATCACTTAATGGGAATAAACACCAAACATCTAATCAACTAGAAGCACAATTTTTTTTTCCAAGTGCAGTAAAAATAAAAGGTTATTACTAGAATTGATGTTTACAGGTCTGTGGCTAAATTGTGCAGAAGAGGAAAGATATTGGCTTGTAAGATGCACAAGGATAGTATTTCAACTTATTCAAGGCCTATTACTGTCCATTTCAAGCTATGGTAAATGACCTTTTAGTTATAATACTATCGCATTGAATGGAACATAATAGTTGGTTATTTACTTTTATTTCAGTATGGAATTATGAACAGAAGCTTTCCCTATTTCATTTAATTCAAAGAGTGATTTACTGCTAATCAAAGGTGAAAAGAATATTGCCCAACTTTGAATAGAATTACTGGACTGATCAATGGAAACAGCCACCCACCTCTTTAGTTTACTGGCTGCACACAAGAAATTCCACATCCCAAAAATGCATAAAAGACATTGGAAACATTCCTTCAGTTGGAAAGAAGAGAAGGGGAATTTATAAATTATTTGGGAAAGGAAAAAATATTAGAGACCAAATAACTGACCTTATTTTCAATTAAAATATTCACAAGTAATAATGGATCATATTTTGAAATTGTTCTTTGAAAACAGCAAAATATAAAAGGAAAAAAACCAAATATATTTGTACATTTTACTTGGCTTTTAATTAATAAATCATACTGCAATCATGCATTTAATTAAACTGTATTAATTAAAACTTGTCATTTAATATCACTATCAGCAAAAGAATGTATAACTTCTGAAGTAATAAGGAAAAGAGAGAAATATTAGTGGAAAGGTCAATTACACCCCATCTGTATATGCAACTACATTTGATATCTAAAGCACCATTTCAATCAAATCCCTTACCCCCCACTGTGTAATGGTGGTGGTAGGGGTGCAGTACAAATAAACTAAAAAGAGGTTCTTTTCTTTCTTTTTTTACATTTAGTGGTAGTAATCAAATTTTCAAGTATAATATAAATCCTTATTTTACAAGCTACATTAATTCATTGTTACCTTCATTCACTTTGCCAGCCATGTTAACTGGACAAGGTATAATGGATTCATGCCTTAAGTGGTTTCAAAAAGAATCTGAATATTTACATCAGCGAAATCCTTTAACAAGCTCTACACAACCAGAACTGCCTGAGCTCATTTTTAAATATTTAAGTAAAGCTTAGTCTGGTACAAGAGCAAAGAGAAGCGAGATAGGAAAATTACATCGTGCTAATCTCTCAAATAAGGGAGAATAACACTGGAGAGCACATATTTTATTGAACGATATCTGACGTCTGATTCAAGGTAATTTGTGTGCACTGAATACAAATTTCAACTCAATTTGGCTCTATCGGGTCCTGATTCTTGTCAAAAGCCTATGTGCCATTTTTCAGATTTTTCAAATTAGGACTAAAAAAATTTAAGTCATATGTTAAAATCTTTTTTCAAGTTCCATGAATACAAACAGTTCAAACTACAGCATTGGTTGAATTGGCTGATTAACTCTGGGAACAAGTTTTTTATATTTTTTAGTTGTCCCTCTAGAATATTCAACAGAAAACAAGAACAGCAGAAAAAAAAAATCTAGAATTCTAAGATATTTTAACTTAATTTACTAATATTAAAATAGTTTTAAATTGTCATTTTTAACCTATTTTTAGGGTGTTACATATAAAAATATATATAATACAAAAATACCATAAAAATAGGTACAAATACCTAGTTGCATAATGTGCAAATGGAAAAAGACTTATTGAGAAAAAACCTTTTTATGAATACCACAAAATTGGGGTATTGAGCAAAATCAGGACATGACAGAGTAAAAGCGAGTAAAAATTTGTGTTCAGTGCACCCAAATTACATAGAACTGTCAAATCTAATTCAATAAACAAAAAATTGAAATTTGTTCCCCAGTGTAATCTGTTTTAAAAATCAAAATTTGAAACCTTGAATTTTATCTGAGCTCAACCATTGACACCAAAAGGACAAACAATATTGTAGGTCCTCTGTGGTCATTTTTTTTTAAAAAAAAAAAAAAAAAAAAAAAAAAAAAAAAAAACAAACAATTTCTCCTCCTATTAGGAAAAAAAAAAAAAAAAAAATCCTTACGGAGCCATCCATTTTGTTATTAACCAGGCAAATCAAGTTTTATAAAAGCAGCTTAAACGAAGTTTCCTCATTAACCAGAGCAATAGATAATTAAGAATTATTTAAAACATCTTAGGAAAAAAAAAAAAAAAAAAAAAAAAAAGAAGAGAAAACTTTGGCATTTTTAAGTAGAAAATAAAGCAATGACTGGAGTGATTAAGATGAAGATGGTGGTGGTAGTGGTGGCAGCTGGCGGTAGAATTAAAAACACTAGTAGCCTAATACTTACAATACTTTCGCCCTGGGGTTAACAATGTGTGAGAGAAAGAACAAAAGTAGGGAAAAAAAAAAGAAGAAAAGTCAGACATGTTTTTTTTTCTCTCATAATTTAAAAATAAATACAAATTAAGGCATATTGGAAAACAACGGGAGTAGTTTTTCTACTTTTAACAGAATTTGCTTTAAAAAATAGATAAATATATATATATGTTTATTTTGCATGGCAGTAAAACATTCTGAGGCTGCCTCTCAACCACATTAGGTATAAAAGATTCAAGCATCTAAAGGCTTCAACCGCAGTAAGATGTTTTATACTCCAAATAGATAAGGAAGTAAAAAATCCTGCTCCAAATTTGCGACTGGTATATCTGGGAAGCCCAAATATAAAGAGATATTATTTTTTATAAAGTTAAAAATACAAACATTTTATCGAGTAAATTAAACAGTAAAATTTAGAATCTAATTTTAAAAAATGGAAACAAGATTTTATATCAACACAGAAAATTAAGAAAAAGATTTTCCCCTCCACTTTTTAATCAATAAAAAATACAATTGATAATTAACGTTTCGGATTAGGAAAAAGAAAGATGTTATTAAAGTGAGATTTTTTTTACTTACCGGCACTTCTTCTTTGGACAAGAAGTTCTCTTGCTGGTTCAGAAGCACTTCAGCCTGCTTGGCATCCCGAAGGAACATCTGCAGAGAAAGAGATACAAATAGAAAATTGTTAAAATAAAAAAAGAGTTTTAAATTATGAGCCAAAAAGACAAGAAAGGATTTGTGATTTTTGGAGAAAGACTGACTAACTTCCCACAAGATTTTTTTTTTTTTTTTTAAATTCATCTTAAAATATTAACTCATAAAGAGACAAAGCTTCCTTTCTTATGTAGAAGAAGACAGAAACATGAAAACTACCTTTTGTTCTTTCATTGGTTTCATTTTTTGTTGGCGACCCATTTTAACAAGAAAAAAGAGAGACAGTGAGAGAAAATCTTCAACCAGTTTACATGCTACGAAAATCACCAGTCAAAATGAAGCTGAAAAGTTATTCACGGGAAAATTATAATTGCAGTTTTAATAAATAGAAGTAACATTGATTGGCTAGAGTGATTCAGTAAACATCTGGTGAAGGCATAAGCAATTCTAAATTGATTCTTCGAATAGAAAGGCTGTCTTATGTCAAGTGTAAAGAAAGCAAATGACATTCTTCAAGATCTGCATTCAATTAATATCAGATTCAGAAAATTAATTACACTGTTGAGTGATTAAGACAAATGATAAAGAAATGGCTTTATATACAAAAAAAAAAGAAAAGAATGCCAATGCTAATAATAGGGTTCAATCTTTTATTTATTATTTCTTTTGTTTTAGTTTATTTATTTGATAAACTTAGGAAATGTGACTAAGCTGCAAAATGCCTTAAGAACAATTAGAAATCTTATTTTATACTTTTAAAGAATCACCAACAAACTTTTTTTCTGTATGACAATAAAAAAAAAAAAAAAAAAAAATCAATTCATTTTCACACTGCAGCTTTTAAATCCTTGTCAAAAAAGGACTAATAATATTCCAGATCTTTCTTTTGGCTTTGTTGAGAATCTCAAGTTCTATAGCACAAGCACCAGACCTGATATGGCCACAATATTCAATGCACAAATGAATGGTAGATTTATAGATGTGCCAGATGGATTCTGAGAAGAAAAATTGTCCGACAATGAACCAACTTTCCTCGCAGCAGACATAGCAATTGATTCAATATAATCCCTCCACTTTATGCCAGTGGAAAACATGAGACCAAGAATGGACAAAGAGTTGCTCCACTGGAAGTTAGCATCAGCCACACTGATGGACAACAAAAAATAAAGTCTCTCTATGGGATTAAAAGATAGCAGTCTCATTTTGGTGGCATTAAAATTTACAAGCCGTTCTTTGTTCCAGTTAACAACTGATCAAAGGTCACTTTCAAGAGTTTTACTAGTTTTGTCAGACCTCTTAGAACAGAAGTAAATTAGTTGTACCATCAGCATAAATACCTAGTTGAGAACTGATCTTACATATCTATGCCTACCATTTGCCAATGCTTAGAATATTGCTGCCACATTTGGTCCAGTGGTCCTGCTACATATTTAGAGATTTTTGATAAAATCCAGAGTCACTAATATTATTGGTCCTCCTGACATCTTGGCTTCAGTCACATTCCCATCACCATAAAGTTGTTTCTCTGTGCCTTTTCTATAAACACTTTCCGATGAGCCCTTTGCTATGGTACCTAGACGTTATGAATTTAATAAGCGTAGTACTAGACTGGCAACAAGGTCTCATCAATTTACAGTTGAATTGGTTTAGATGTAACTAAGTTTTATGCTAATAGTTTCTTTTCTCATACTTCTTGCTTGTGGAACACACTTCCAGCTCTATACTTTTCAGCCAACATTGATCTTCAAAAATTTAAATGCAATGTCAATCGTTGTCTATTGCCATCCTGATTATGCTTCTGTTCTCTTTAATTATGTTTCTGTTTTCTAATTCTTTCACACCCTTGTGTTTTAGTGACTTTACTGCCTTGCTAGAGTTAAATTAGATTAGAAAAAGAGCTAAATATGGAATGCTTTCTTAACCATCCATTTCAAACTAATAAGGCATGAAACTGATGCAGTATAATATAAATACATTAGATGCTCGTGGCTTTCACAGTAAGCAATATGTTAAACTGATTAAAATATTTTCTAATTCAATAATAGTAATTAACTTTGTATGAATTTATTCTTAATTTTAAATACTATCCATTAACTGCATCAACAGTTGCAGAATCGTTAACTCCTGAATATGAGTTTTCCTGTATTTGATAAGTCTTCATTAACATCTAATAAACTCATAGTCCTGAGAGATTAGCTTGTGGGAAGAGGTAGATGGGGAGAACCATTCCTCATTACCAACACAACAATAGCAGCTTAAGTGAAGAGGTTAAATAAAACTTATTTTAAACTAATTTTTTGTTTTTCTTTAGAAAATGTTTACCTAATACATGGTCTAAGAGCCACTCAAAGTAGTGTGTTACTAAATGATGTTGCTGTATAGATGTAGGAGAAGGAAATAAGTGCAGATTATGAAGATATGAAGGACAGTTAAGGGCTGAAGAGATCAGGGAAACATGTTCCATAAAGTGGCTCTTTGAAAGAAACCATCTGAATGCTACTTCCTTCTAAGCAATACAAGAGAAATGAGGCTGGTTCAACCATATTATATATATATATATATATATATATATATATATATATATATATATATATATCAAAACTAAAATTTGTTCTTCAAAAATTTGTTGAGATGCTTACACAGGCAAGATGCTTGCACAAGTACATGGAATAACCATTATCTTTAAATTTATACCTAAAGCAAAATGTCTTCATTTTGATTAAAAAAGAAAGTGGAAGAAAAAAAAATGAAGGAAAAAGGTAAAGATGAAGAAAAAATAAAAACAAATAAATAGAAAAAATATATTTTGCTAATTGCTGGAAGGAAAAAAAAATGAAAAAAGAAAATTCCTTGTTAATATCATTTTGTTACTGAAGCCTGCAGGGAGTAATATCTTAAGAATAACATCTGTACAGGTCATCACAATAGAGATCAACATAGTATAAGCTTCAATTAATGTGACAATAAAAATTGCAAAAATATGATAGATTAAAAAAGAAAATTCAGTGTAAAGTAATTTTCAAGTCTTAACTCACCTGCAGGTTAAGGCTCTGGGATAGTAGCTGCTGTCTGTTCTCCCACATCTGTAACAATTCCTGCCAGCCACCATCAAGGGCCTGGAGGCGCTGAAAACATCAAAATATAAAACAAATATAATAATGATTTAACAGTCACAAAAATGAGTCAACAGGTTTCAATCCCATCCTAATTCATCTGAAGCCATAAAAATGAATTTGAAAAAAAAAGAAAAAAAAAAAAAAAAAGAAAAAAAAAGGCAGCTCTGACAAGTATATCGTCTCAGCCATTTCAGTAGCTGTGTGCATTTTATATCTGTAAAGAACATACGAATCTTAAATTCAGGCTTTTATCTCAGTGACAATAATTAGTCAGCATGTCTACATTTTGAACAGTGGCAGCTCATGGATAAGATCAGTGGGGGTGCTGCTTTAGAAAATTTTTAGTCATTGTCTTAATCTTATTTGAAATGAAACAAGCATATAAAAATATTTATACACGAACTTGATAAAATCCTAAACGAAAAATGATTTTCATAAGTTTTTTTACAGTTCAAGCTTGATCCATTGATTTAAAAATGAAATACTTTTTTTTTTTTTTAATTTTAAGCAAAAAAGTTAATAATTTTCTCCTTGAACACTGGATGACTATTGAAGAAATAGTTCTCTATTGAAAGTACTGTAAGTGCATTTAGTCTTTCAGGATTCACAGTGCTCCTTAAAAAAGTTTTTATTCTTTTCAATGTTGAAAAGCAGCATTCTGGCTCTGGTGTTGTCATGGGAATTGTCAAGATGATTTTATCAGTTTTGTAATTTCACTGAGAACAACATCTAGATTATTATGAAAGATAAATTTCAGCAGCTGAATGAATTTGCAATATTCATCTACATCAGATCTACAATAGAATACTTTTTGTTTAGTGTCAAGCTTTTCTTTGTCAGTCATGGGATTTGCTTCTATGGTCAGAACTATCTCTTCTGTAGGCAGTTCATTCTTAAAATTAGAGAGGCTTTTCTTGTTGAACAATTTAGCAGCTACTAAGTGTTTAGTGGCAGAATATCTGTCCATTATATCAACATGTATGCAATCACATACTTCCTTTGCTTCTGCTATGATTGTCTTTGAAGGATTCTCTGAGTTTCTTATTTCTAAAATAGCAGTTTTGAAATCTATTATATATTTATTGACTTTAAAACACACTAATTTCTCAAAATTGCATTTGGTTGTAAATTACTTGAGCATGAGACATAATCTGATGAAAAAACTAATCAAAATCATGAAATTATCATCATTCAGGTATTCAGAAATTCCTGTTATTTCTGCAATGGTTTAAACTGTATTTGATATTGATTGAATTTCAGTAAGGCAGCTTTTTAAAGGTTTCAAATTTTCATGAACTCTGTACATGGTCCATATGTTAAAGTTCCACCTTGTAAATGATGGACATGGAATGCTGACATCCATATGCTTCTTGAGAATGGATACATGTGGTGATCTTGAGAAGAATATTGGAATAGTCAAAATGTTAGAGAATTATATTCTTGCATACCATGTAATACTTGCTGCATTTCTAATTAAATTGATGTACATAACAGTGAATGAAATGTGCACTACTATAAACTGCTTTTATTTTGGCTTCAACTCCTTTTTTTTGCCTTTCATGATATTTCCACCATCAAATGTCAGAGCTATCAGTTATTGTCCATTTTCTTGAAGGATTGTGTCTAATTGTTCTAGAATACATTTTGATATTCTGGAATAAAGAATCCTCCAAAACACTCAAATATTTCTTCATTCATCACATACAGTAGAACAATGATTATTTGAATGTGTTCCAAAACAGCTGCTGTGTCATCAGCCATGACAGCTACAAACAAAGCTTCCCTAATTTCTGTCCTTATCTCGTCATGGTATATTTGTAGCAAGCGGTCAAGTATCTAATTCTGAACAGTCTTTGAAAACCTTACTGGTCTCTCAGTGATTCTTCAAATCTGGATCTAATTTATATGCAAAATTTATTAATCCTCTAAAAAGACCCCTGGATTTACTGAATATCTACATAAGGGAGTTTCAAAGCTTCCACAAAATAAAATCTATTAATTTGGATAAAATTTCATGGTTCTTTTTAACCTTCAGGTTATGTTCATTGACTGAAAGTCGGTATGCATCACTAAGTTTAAAGAACACAGTTCCATACAAGGATTTTCGTAATTTTTCATGAACAAGGGGATGACTACTGACATTAAGCTTAAGGATTATATAATGTACAAGTATAACGAAAGAATTAAAGAAAAAGAAAAAAAAAAAACTTATATTGAATGCTATCAATAATAAATATTGAATAAAAATATGGGGTGCTGCAGTCCCGCCATGCCTAGACATGAGCTGCCACAGATTTTGAATAAAACTTTACATTTTTCAGTCTTTGTTCTATCAGTGAAACATTTTATGTCAATGTGAAATTTACAACTAAGAATAATGTCCATTTGTTTGTCTGAAATAAACATTTAAAAAACAAAAACAAAAAAAAACCTAAGTACAATGATTGCAACTAATCCAGCAATAATAATTAGATAAAAGTAGTCATTCAAAGGCAGTAAACCAATAAAATATTTCAATTAACTAATTATACTAATCAACAAAAAAAAAAAAAAAAAAAAAAAAAATGAGAAGCTTAAATATATCTTCACATTCCTCATTTAAGAACAATTGAAAGAAAGCTATAGTTCCCATCATACCTTGTCAAATCATATCTTATTTATTTAAGAGAATGGAATTAAATCACTATTATTTAACCTTCTAAGGCCAGAAAGCCCAAATGTACCTCTAAGTTTTCAGTCTGGGAGCACCTGAATGTACCTCCAATTGGGTAGTATCATATTTCAATACACAGCATTAACACTCGTCACATGATCCACTACAGGCGCCAGAAATCTACAACTTTTACAAAGTTGTAGGCTTCCAAAACTACATCTCATAAACAGTAGTAACAAGGAGGATTAAACAGATAAATTCTTTGGCACTTTGAAGCATTCCATGAATTCAGTAGAAATAAAAATATCAAATAATTGTCCTCCAGTACCCCAACTAGTGTGTGTCCATGTATGTTAACAGGGCTACTCTGATAATAAAATTAAAATAGCAAGCACCATTAAATGGTAAATACAATTCAAGAATTAGTTTTACGATGTAATAAAGTAAACAATGTATATTCTAACAACTACCTACTGAGATTATCAGATAGGAAAACAGAATGAGAAATACCATATGTACTTATGTATAAGCCAACCCCTGAATTCCTTTGCATTAATTTTAACCCCTCCAGAAAAAAGAAAACAATTATCTATATATAGTGCAACCAGCCACAAAAATTGCATTTTTCAACTCTGTACAACACCCTATCATTTATATAAAAAAATTAATCTTAAAAACTCATACTATATTCACATATATCCAGTATATATTTCATTTCAAACAAATCACAAAACATCAATGAAACAACTTTTTCTATAAATTATACTCTCTTTTTCATTATTTCACACTTTAACCTGTTTTTTTTCTTTTTATATTATAGAATGAATCCCAATATTGAAAAACAAAGAGCTCTTGAGACATGAAGTATTGTCACATCATTTAACAATAAAATTACCATCACTAACTTGAACCAAATAAACTGACTTTTTCTTTTAAGTAAATCACAAGGAAAAAAATGATTTTTAGCAGGATAGGCTCATATACTATTGGATTTACATTATTCACGGGAATATTACCTTGGTTTTCGGATGACTTTCTGAAATGGATTGTGACCGATAACTGTACTGAGCCAACCTTAATTACAGTTTCTGGGATAGAGCACATCATCTGGTGTAATCAACAGCTTGAACAAGGCCAGTACACTCAAACCCTCGGTCATAATGACTTGTGACTTTGTGCTAGCACAACCATCAACGAGCAATCGTTTACCCAATTTCACTCACAAAGCTTAGATCAACCAGTGGTGTGGTCTTCAGGCATTTTCTTACTGCACATTGGGATTGCCTCACCAGGCTGATAACATCGTCACCTTTCCAACAAATCAACCCTTGTGAGATTTGAACACAGGCCTCATGGTCGGAAAGCAAACATTCTAACCCATGTGCCCATATAGTAGAACGGCATAAAATAGCATTACTAATATTAACTCAATGCATAATCTACTTAGACTGAAAAGTCCTCTTGTTAGACATAGGCCTTCCCCAGATTTATCTAGAGGAATGAATTATTACCCTACCCAACACGCTTGGGCAATCACGTATCTTTTCAATTCCTGATCGCCTTAGAGTATTTGCATGTAAGTGAATGTAATAAACCCAAGTGAAATTTGAACTTGGCTCTCCAATTTCCTATTCCAAGCTATTATCTATCACACCACCCACATATCCAAGATTACAGCTCCTGGTATTCGCAAACAGTCACCCATCTAGGTACTGACCAATCTTGACGTTGCTTAATTTCAGGGATCAGACAAGAACCAGTGTTTCAATGTAATATGTCTAAGCATCAATACATAATACTGAACACTTATCAAATAAGTCCGATTACGACCATGTTAAATAGATCAACTAACCTGTCGTAGAAACATGTACTGAGGATCATCTTGCCCATCAGTGACTTTATCCCCAAACTCCTTCATTTTTGCATATTCAGGAGCATAGGCATCAATTTCATCCTTGAGCTGCTGATGTTGGTTAAGCAGCTTCTCTGCATCAGCCAGACTGTTGGGAATATCTTCTGATGCAACTGTGGTTTGTGTACGAGACAGCCACTGCTGGAAATGGTCAAGGTTGCCGAGGAAACGTTGCAGTTCTCCCGCTTCACCAAGTTTCTCATCACGATCTTTTAGCTGTGAAAGAGAGAAAAAATAAAAAAATAAAAAATAAGGTTTAATAAACGGCTAACAGAAATCTAGATTAACTGATCTTCAAATGAACAATTTTCCAGCAGGAAAAGATAAAATAAAAAAAATAAAAAAAATTAATATTTTAGAATGTACAAAATTTTAGGATGAAAATGGTTCAAGGGAAGTAATTCAACAAGGGAGATGATCCTGAAACTTAATAATGCACAAAATATTTGTTTTAATTGTAGAATTAGAACAAATTTTCAGGCCTACTAAATTTTGCCCGTTACAAGGCACGAGAGCCACTTCAGATACAGGATTGCAGTCAGCAAAATGGTAACGTTGAATGAAGTGTACAATTTTAAATCGAGGAGAATGGGATAAATGAAGATTACCATGAAAAAAGGAGACATGACGAGTGACTCTTGATTTGAAAAAATGCAATTAGAAAAGATTCTAATGATTTAAAAAAAAAAAAAAAAAAAAAAAAATTTTTAAATGGGAAGACAACTTACCATTTCTTTGAGATCCATCCATACATTATTGATGTCATTGATCTTTTCACGAATAGCCTGGGCTTCTTCAGGTTTAGTTTCTTGTAGCCTATCTGCTTCTACTTGCAAAGATTCAACCTGAAAGGGGAAAAAACAGCATTTAGTTTTCACAATTCAACTTCACAAATCATGTCTTACATTTTTAATTATTTTAAACAATGGTTAAAATATGAGATTTCATACGATTATGGTCCTGTTTTTTCTTTCTTTTTTAAATAACGAATTTAATCAATGTGTATAAGCTTCATTTTTGATTAAATATCAACTTTCCATGTACAAAGTACAATTTTTGTGCTCAAGAACCTTTAAGCTAGTTTTTCTTACCCTGTAAGATATTTTTAATATCTTAAAAAAGTGTAAAATGTTAAATTGCTATCCTTAAAAACAACAAACAAAAAATCCTGGATGTAAAACACTAATAGTTAACCTACAGCCTGTTCAGAGTAAAGTTTTTAAGCACTGATTAAAATGTCTTATTTCAAAGTAATCAGAAATACATTGTGCAAGTGAATGTTTTTAAAATTTAACAATATGCATTGTGTAAGAATTACTCACTTTAGCCTGTATAGCTGCAAGATCTCGTTCCATACCACTGAGCCGCCTCTGTAGTGTCATAACGCCAGTCAAATCATTGTCAAGTTCTTCTGTTGATTCAATGATTTTCATTTTCTCGTTTATCCAGCCCTTTAAAAGAAAACAAAATTCTTATAGGTAAAACAAAATGAGGAAAAAAAAAAAGATTCAAACTACAAACTAATCAAAATTAAAACAATTTACATTTTCTTCTCACAGCTTTATATTGCTTAGCTTATTATTTACAAAGCATACAACTTAGCATCAAAATTTTTAAGGTTTACATATTTTCCATCATGAATTAATGGAAAGAAATTCACAGCAATTGTTGGACATTCAAAAATCCCCTAAATAAAGAATTACTTGTTTGAAATTCATGTATTTGCAAATATACAGGGATTTATTTTTCTTAGTCTTTCCTTTTTTAACGAGTTTCCAATATAAAGTTAATTTTTTATTATTCAAAATTTTTGAGAAATAATATTAAAAACTTAAAATATTTTTTTTTAAAGAGTACAAATTTTTAAATTAATATAATAGTAACAGCAAAAATAGAAGTAATGATAACAATGAAAAACTGAGAAACTACAAACACAAAGTCACTTACAATGGTCTCGTTACATTCAATGTGGAAGTTCTGCAAGCCATGGGCCAGGTGGATTTCGTCCCTCTTCTGGTCAACCAGCGACCTCAAGTTGTTCCATTGGCGATTCAGTTGATTCTGACGTGCAATCACCTCAGCGGCATTTGGATGTTCAACCTGGAGCAACTGCCGAGCCAGCTGGTTCACCACTGCAACCTTGGATGCCGTAGAGTTCATTTCATGTTCGAAACTTTCAAAGCGGTGTTTCACAATTGCAAGTTCTTCAATGTCATCAGTGATGACAATTGTAGTCAAGAATTTCTCCTGAAATTCACAAAGAGAGGGGAAAAAAAAAAAAAAAAAAGAAATAAAATTAAAAGAAGTTTAAGTGTAGTTTAATTGCTTAAAATAATACAAACGCATAAACAAAACCTCAAAAATTAAGCAAATTATTAAGCAGAACTGAGCCATCACCAAAACTTACGAGTAATTTTATAGGTGTGAAAATATTTGGGAAGAGCATATATAGAAGCCACTTCTAAAGTATTAATGGATACAATAAATTTATTTGCAAAATGTTTACTTTTTATTTGATAAGCAAACTTTGGCCAATACAATATTTTGAATATAATGCTCATATACACAAGCAGTGCTGAATTTCATTCAATCAAGCACAGACAGTTGTAACAGATTCGTCCACCATTTATTAGTAAAGAGCTATAAGGACAAGATCTAAACTTTCAAGATGAGGAATTATAATCATTATACACTGACTTGCTCAGACAAGTGTCTACAACTTAATTGTTATGACAGTGTTCCAACCACTGTTCTCTACAGCCTTCTTCTGGCATCAGCCATAGGTGATAAACTTCTAAAAGCATCGACTACTCCTTTATTTATGAAGGTTTATTCCACAACTTGTGGAAAATTTTGTATCAGTTCTAATTTTTCTAATTTTGTATCTAATTCATCCATATATCATGTCTCTTTTCTCAATTTTGTTGCACTACCCTACCTAGAGACTGAACTCCTGACCACCAGATAATTTGAGTCCATTTATTAACACATTCACTTAAGTGATTACTATTTTTGTTTTTAACTCATGGCACATTTTAGAACATTTAAAAGATTATGATGCACTTTGTGCTTAAATTTGAAAAATTTATTTTAAAAAAGGTATTTATACATATTAGCATAAAGTAGAAATATAAAGAATTAAAAAAAAAAAAAAAAAAAAAAAATGGTTATGTACTTCTTTATTCATTAAATGGAGCAGTAATTGATTTGTTTAATGGCACATCAACTCCTTAGGGGTCATTTAATGCCAAAACTTAATTTTCTTGGAAGTTTGAAGAAATAAAAATATGATATACGTTATTCTACTTTCACAATTGAATACATGGTAGATGATACTCAGCTTTTGTGCATATACATGTTTGTGTAGACATAATTACTAGAGGCAGTGATGTGTTTTATGTTGTAGTTTTGTTGAAGTTATATTTTGGAATACAGTTTGATTTAAGAAATTGTAATTTCTTTCATGACATTAATCCATTAATGTCATGAAAGAGTTCTTTCATGTTGGTTCTTTGGCAGTATATCAACCTCTGGGGGTTATTTAATGATGAAATATCAATATTTTCTTTACATAATTTTATGCTTTCAATTAGATATTTTGTACATTAATTTTATACTTAAAAATGCATATCTGTTAGTTTGTTATTTAAGACAAATCTTTTTTTTTTTTTAACTCCCCATCAAAAAGTCCGTTTTTGTACGCAAAACATCAAAGGCCAATAACTCTATAAAAGTCAGGGATTGATTTGTCACTGTATTAATATTATAAACAGGACCCCCACTTCTAGATCAATAACAAATCAATATTTTTCTATTCTGACAAGTGTAATGGCTTAAGAAAGATCTAAAGAATGCTAATCTCCAAAAATTATTTCCAAAGAAAATTTTTCTTATTTTTTATGAGTAGACCATTCTATTTAATTAGTTCTAAACTTTATTACAAATTTCAAGTTTTATTTTTTGCACGATGCCTTGATTCTTATACCAAGGCACACTAGTGCATAGATTGGGAAAGACTATATTAGGTGCAATAAAAAAAAAAAAAAAATTCATCACCTGACTCATCAAATGCATTCCTCATATAAAAACAACAGCATTCATGTCACAAGGAGAAAAAAAATAGAGTAACGGGAAATTAAAAGCTTTTCAAAATAGTCTACCTTCTCATTTATCCAGGTCTCCACTCCATCAGCCTCGTTGAAGAGCTTGTAAAGAGAGAGGGCATCAAGCAGCCGCTGTTTGCGCAGTTTTGCAAGTTCCAGTAGTTCTTGGTAGCGACGGTCAATGCTGCCCAATCGACTCTGCACATCATCAGACTCACGGTCCTTTTATATATAAAAAAAAAATATATATATATATTTTAAAATGGCAATGTATTACAGTTATTTGCATGAACAGGTTTCTATAGTGTTTTAATCTTAAAGAAAAATTGCTTACCTGTTCACCAAGGTTTGTAGCTTGCTCATGAAGACTTTCAATGACACTCTGGTAATTCTTAAGTTCATCTGTTACATCCTGTGAAATAAAGCCAAAAATATTAGCAACCATTACACAGAAATATGTAAACATTCATTCATTCATTCATCACATTTTACATCACTCTGGTTACCTCTTCCTGCCATCTCACAATTATGGTTCATGATGACATTCAAGGCAGAATAAGTGCAATGACTTGCCAGTTCCATTTGCACCTGGGAACGTTGAGGTTACCACATCCCTCTTCTCAAAGGTGGATTTGTTTTTGAAGTTACCTTCTTCTAGCCTTTGCCTAAAGAGGCAGGAGCTACAAGGCAGCAGGTGGTTTGAATTCAGAGTTTCCTTCTCCTAGATTAGTTGCCACCCAAGGCTATAGGACCTAGTCTGTCCTGCTAGTTTACCCATAGCTGGGAGGAGAAGAGATGAATTCAGAGATGGATTTAATTGTTTTTCAAAATTTTCAGTTTGTGCAAAAAAAAAAAAAAAAAAATTCATCTCGTACAAACAAAAATTAAAAAATATAAACATACAGCAAAATTAAAAGATTATAAATCACGGCTTACCTTGTGTTTCTTGAGCAGAGACTGTACACTGGCTTCATCACGGCCGACATCTTCACTGGACACAATACGGAACGTATCCAACATCCAGATGTCAATGTCATCAGCATCCGCAAAGAACTACAAAAGAAAATAGCAAACAATAAAACAAACACCAAAACAAATTAGGAAATCAAATTTAAGATTAATTATTTTAGCAAAATTTAAGATTAAAAGAAAAATAAGATCCAAGTAATGATTTTGTCAAGAACACATTTTTTTTTACTTATATACTAATTCTGAACTATTTTTTCTTTTTTTAAAATCCATTCATAGCTGAATCACACTGATCATACAGATCAATATATAAACCATAAATGCATCAGGTCAAAGGTGTGTACCAATCCTTCAAAAAATGACAACCCAGCCTCTCAAAGGCCCACTCAAACAAATTAAAAAAAAAAAAAAAAAAAAAAAAAAAAGGTGCACATGTATATATCTCCATAGCATGTCACTCGATTTCACTGGAGTCTGCCACCACACCAAATATGATTGCTGATTTTGTCAACATTTACAGTGGTATGAATGCTACCACATCACAAAAATGGGAAATGTTTTTTTTTTTTTTTTGCTTTTTTTAAGTTTATCTACTAATCCCTACCATGCAAATTTTGATAGACTGACTAATTTGTTTTCTATAGCTTATCGAGCCTTTGCAGGTTTTTTTAAAGTCAAAAAATATTTTTTGATTGTAAGAATTCTTTTTTCTTAAGATAGTAATGGTTTAGCAGTACAAGTCTTGCTACTTAACCCATAGCTGGGAGGAGAAGAGTTGGATTCATATCTTTCCCAAGTGTATTTGTGCACAAGTGAATATAACTAACCCAGCTGAAATTAGAACTTGGCCCTCTGATTAACAATTCAGTCATTATCCATTACATCACCAAGTAGTCACCCATCTAGGTACTGATCAGGCTCAATGTTGGTTAACTTCACTGATAGTACGAGTACCAGTGTTCCAATGTGATGTGGACCTAAGTCACACATTTCAAGGTCAAAATCAGTTTTGATATTTTCCATCTGTGTATTATTCATCATTTTAATTTACCCTATTACTTACGAATGTTTACAAGCTCCACTACATTCTTTAACAATCGACTCAGTATCATACCTGTATTATCATTATGAATTAAAAAGACAAGTGTCTGGTCTCCACAGGTTCAAGATAAGATGTATTTAGTTAAAAATATCTAAAAGAGCTCTTAAATTATTACACAATTTCTTATTGAATTACTTTATAAGCTGATAACCTGTAAATTCTGTAATTTCTTTCATTAATCAACTAACTGCCATCCTGTCTAATAGGCTAAATAATTTTTTAGCCTATTAAGCATTTTCAAGATAGTCATCTTGGATTAATATCTTCATGCGGATAGAAAAGGCAGACATACTAGACAATTAAGAGAGAAATAAACCAAGATTATCTTCACAAACCTGATAGTAATCAACAGCCTCGTTGAGTCTGCGTTTACGATAGGCTGCCAGGTCAATCAAACTCTCCCACTGCTGGTTGATCTCATCTATGCGTTCTTGGATCTTGTCTGCACCGAAATTGCCGGCAGAAATGAGATCATTGCCAACTTGGATGACTGACTGCAGGTGTGAGTGTCTGGCTGTCATTTCATCCTCCAGTGCCTAGTAACAATGGAAAAAGAAAAAATTATCAATACAAACAACAATTCCATTAAAAAGGTCAATAGAAATCCCAGGTTAAAATAAAAAAAAAAAATATTTGACAATTTAACAGCAAAATCTTTAAGGAAAAATAACTTAAATATGCCACTAGATATCCAGGAAATATTTATTGTACAGGGCTTATAGACATGAAATCATATGAACCTTTGACTCAAAGCACAAATGGTGAAATTAACTGCAAATGAGAATTTCTTTCATTGTAATTCTATGGCTCAATGCAGTTTAATCAATTATGGTTAAATGAAATTTGAAGTCTTTCTTGTACAACAAAGTATATTTTCTTACAATATAGTTTCAAAATCAGTTAATATCAATTGATTTTAAAGTGCAATCTGATAGGATTCTTAACAACTATATTAATTTTCCACATTTCCTCGTTTTCATAGACTGTGGCTATATATATGTCCTTGTTCTGGTGTTAGGAAGCCATCCCCAAAGTTTGTCAAAGTATTTTTTGTACAGCCTATAGCCAAAATTGAGTAATGATTCATCCTAATGAATAAGCTGGTTCTTGGCATCATAACCAAATGTCAATCAACCTAAGTGAGGAATTAGCCTACAAAATATATTGGACAGTAAATTTATCAACGGAACACATAATTGAAAGTTTTTGTATCCTTTTATACTTCATTCAGGCTTTGAAGTAATTGTAAATAAAAAGACAAAACATAAAAAAAAGTCAATGAACTGGTCAAATATTTTTTTTTTAAACCAACTTTTGATAATTTTTATGTTGCTCACTATTTACAGCAAAAAGAAATAATGGCGAAAAGACATTGAAACAAATCTGTTCTGACTGTTGCCCATTTATTTTCTAAGTTTCACATCCAGAATTTTTAAGTTGAATATCACAATTTAAGAAATGAAAAGAAAAAAAAAAAATAGCAAGATGGTTACCTTGTGTTTGTTCAGTAGGAGGTGCACACTGGTCAAATCATGTCCCAGGTCAGGAGAAGACATCAACTGCTCCTTTTCTTTTACCCAGCCCTCCTCATCAGCCATATCCCAATAGAACTGCCACAGTTTACGGGATTCTTCAAGGCGAGACCTGCGCTCAGCTGACAGTTGTTTCAATTCAGTGAATGCTGTCTCCAGAGTGGACATACGCTCAAGTATAACTTCAGGCTTGCAAGGTTGGTATTCAGCTAACAAATAAGGCAAATATTTCATTAAATATTTTCATTACAATAGGTTGGGTTCAAAATTAAACCTAAAAGTTGAAACAAAATTTATTGAGCAATATTTCAGTCTACTTCTGTAAACTTTGAGTAACCAAATTGTAAAGTTGTTAATTTCCTTGATATTTTTTCTTTACTTTGCTATTTGTTTAAACTAAAGTAAATATAACTGTGTAATGTTAAAAAAGCAAGTTTTAAACAATATTCCTCATTTGTAATTATATAGTAACTTCTTCAAAAGTGTTTCATAATAAAAATATATTTCTGATTTAAGCAAATTTCAACTGACTAAGTAGACACAATTGATATATTCAGATATTGAATATTTAGTAAAATATATAAATGAGAAATAGATTTTAAAATAGCTGCCTGACATTATTAAGTGGTATGATTTTATTTTGACCAAATAAATCTTTATACTTCTTTGCAAAGTAGCCAAAAATCCAAAGCTATTAAAAAATAAAAACATATATAACCTTTGCTATTGGAACAATATTCTGTTGATGTAGTCATTTGACTAAATAAACCCCTAAAGTGAGGACAAAAAAGAGACAACATTTTTGTCTAGAAATGGGTTATTAACTGTCAAATCACTTAAAAAAAAATATAATCAAAACTTTCATAATTCCAGATTAACATTCAATTCACAACCTTTATAAGAAAAAAAAGAGCCTCAGAAAATATTGAATATTAATAAGTCAAATGAAATAATTTTCATAAGTTACAGTAAGAAAAGGAAAGAAAACAGTACTACTTACATCCAACATCTACAAAGTTGCCCTCAGCAAATCTGTGAGCTTGAGAATTAACAGTTTTCACTCTCTCACCAACAACATTGATGTCAGCCTCAAGCAAGCTGTGTTTTTGAAGCAAATCTTCCACTCCCATCAAATGTTTGCCATAATCCTCTGACATGAGACGAGCCTGAAATAAATACAAAATACATGTGAATAGTTAAACACTGATCTTGAGTAAAAATGGTCATTTTTTCCAGTAATTTTTTTTTTTTAACTATGTAATCTTGTAATTATTTTATAATAAATATGAAAATGAATAAGTAACTAACATTTGAATAATTCAAGTGTAAAGATAGAAAATGATACTGAACGAAAACATGTACCCAATGAATTAAAGGCAATTTTTCACCCTTAAAAGTAGAGAAATTAGACAAAGATTATTTTCCATTGACAATCAAAAAATGATTTATAACTAAGGATTAAAAAATATAAAAAATTCATTGAAAAAAAAATAATAAAAAAGAACCAATCATATTTCATGCTGAATAAGGCACACTTTCTTTTAACTCCAATAATTCCTCCAAAATCACCCCCTTGTATCTACCCTAATGGTTGAGACTAGGTAAGTTTTGGAATAGATGTTACTGGTATTAAACTAACAAACCAAGCATTGATAAGCTTTTTGGAGCAGTGGGCCGCATCATAAGATAGGCTGTACTACTAAAAAGATTTGGCAAACATGGATAAATGTTATCCTACAATAAGAGAGTGTCAAAATGACAGATTTCCCCATGACATTGCTTTTTTTTTTCTTTTTCTTTTAAACTATGTTTATTGTTTTAAAAAGCAATAATTAGAATTATAATAAAATTTAAATATATGAAAGTGAATTTATAAGTTTGTTTTTTTTTCCTTGAGAATTAACAAAAATAATAGACTCTTCATTTACTATATTGTTTATTGGAATGGTTAGCAAAACATTGGCTAATTGCCAATTAGAACTTTATCAAATGGTAAAAAAAAAAAAAAAAAAAAGGACAAATTCACTTTCCTCAGGTGTTAAGTTTTATTCCAATTCTAATCAGCGCTCTTTAAAAGAAACATTGCTGAAGTAATTGAAACGGAGAAAAAAATAGTGTTTATTATTTTGTTGTCAATTCTCAAGAACAAAGAAAATATATAAATTCACTTTCATCATGTTTAGGTTTTATTCTAACTTTAATCATCACTTTTTAAAACAATAAACATTGGCAATAAGTGAAGGCAATTAAAAAAAAAAGTCATGGGGAAAAACCATTCCTTAGACACTACATCTTATTGCAGACATATTTATCCAAGTTTGCTAAAGATTAAATGTATTTTTTTTTTTTTTTATTGAAGATGCCTCAGCCATTTTCACTACCTAAGACAATACATATTAGCATCTGCCTTAGAAATTGGGAAAAGCTGAAGTTTTTGTTTAATATTATCACTGATGGATATTTGATTAACACAGGCTACTGTGTATAATTTATTTCTAATTTATTCCTTTTTTAAAATAAAAAATATATATTTCTTCTCCAGAAAAAAACAATTATTACAATCATTTCTTGTTTCTAAAGCAAAATAATATGTAAGATCTTGCTTAATGAAATTACCAATGGTTTAAAAATGATGAAAACCTTATAAAAAAAAAAAGGTTACAAAATTTAAGAAACATTGTACTTAAGCATTGTGTGTGTGTGAGACAGTGAGTGAGAGAGAGAAAACAAGAAAGAATGAAAGAAAGAAATTCTATTTTTCTTGTGAAATTTGGTGCGCCATTCAAAAAGCCAAATGTGCCACTGTTTGCCCATGACTAACCTAAATGTGTACTCTGATCTCAAAATATGATCACAAATCAAAATATGGAAATAATTACATAAATAATAATTAAAAATAAACAAGTTGTAGGGTATAAAGTATTTTTTGTTAAGATAAACCCACATAATGATCAATGACAATTCCAATGATTTGAGGCATCATTTTACCAGTTCAAATACTGAGAGAAAAGAAAAATTGCATACAAAACTTATACCTTAATTTCTTCCATCCAATCAAGGATATACAACATTTCTTGGAATATTTTCTGGAGATTCAAAGAAAGCTCAAGTCTCATGCGCCTTGCCCGGAGCAGTTCCAAAAGATAATTCCACAGACACAGAACATTGTCTCTCCTTCAAAGAAAAAAAAAAAAAAAAAAAATCATTTTCAAAAATGTTAAACATTCAAATTTTTTTTTTTTTTAAAGAAAAAGTCAAAGTGAAAAAAAAATTAGGCAAAAAAAAAAAAAAAAAAATACAGTAAGTTTTTAGCAGGTAAATCAGATTAAATTGTTCTCAATACATTCATACATATATTATTTATTTATTGAATAAACTAAACATTTTTTATTCAGATCTTTCCTTATATATAACTACTTAACACTTTGCTGTGATTAGCCATGTTCACTGAACTCTGACACTCCCAATTTTTGACAATAAAATTTTATGATCATCAATTTTGGGTGCAAATCACTATACCTGATCATATGATCACAATCAACCAATCAGATGCAAAACTGATCATGGCATAGTCACACATCTATCCATGTCAATTTAATTTTTGAAAATCAGAATTGTGGAACTGATAAATTTACTCTAAATATTCTTAACTCCAGTTTAATTTTCAACTTATATATATATATATATGAGAGAGAGAGAGAGAATTCTATAATAGTTTTTAGGAATGAGAGTAACGAGTTTAGCGATTTTTCTTCAGGTTCCTCCTGAATTGTACAAAAACAGCTGCCTATTCTTCCAAAAGTAGAATGAAAAAAGAACTAGCTGGATATTTTTTTTTTTTTTAAACTTTCATGGTAATAAAAGTATTTTATTTCAATTGATATATTCTAACCAAAACATGAATAGTCATTTTTGCAGAAAAGAATGAACTATTCTATCATGACTACATTATCTTCCACAAGAAAGAGCATGCAGAAGAAATTATTGTAATGTTTTTATTAATTAAGCAAATAAAAAAAAAGTTTAAAACAAAATAATCAATATCAGAAATCTAGAAAAGGACCTTGGTAAAGAGTACACAATAATTGAAGTGTTGAGTTGACTTACCTGACAATAATTCTGGAAATGTCATGGTAGTTCTCCTGTTGTAATTCATTGGATACTGCAATGACAGCTTGTACACGCTCTTCATAGGCATTAATATCAGTTTCAATGGCCTCATGTTTTTTGGTAGCAGCCTCCACAGCAGCAAGGTCATAGCCGAAATTGTCCTGAGACACAAGCCTCTGGTTTTCACTGAGCCAAGTCTCACGCATGCCAGCCTTGCGATTGAACCTAGCAGCCAACTGCTCCAGCTTTTCTTGTCTAGAAAACAGAAACAATGTATAAAACTGGACATTCTATGTAAGTTGTTCAAATGGCATCAATGAGAAAAGATTTATAAGTAGGTGAACTGATTGCAATTAAGTCGTTCATAACATAAAATAGGAGAGAACAGGTGTATGAAGGAATCAAATTTTTGTATGTATCAGATTTAAAATACAAATTTTCATTAAGAAATAAGTTTTATTTATATAAAACCTATTTCTTATGAAAATAGATGTCTTTTTCTTTTGTATGACAATTGTGTGTATGCGTGAACCTCGACTGGGAATATATCAGGTATACATTCTTTTACAGCTTTTAACTCAATTATATTTTTATTTATTTTTTTTTTTTTTTTTTTCGGTATGACTAATTTACAATAATGGTTGAAATTAAATTAAACTTCAAGAAGTGGAAATTTATCCTAGTTTGTTTTGTTTTTTTTTATTAATTACTAATAATTAATTGTATCAAGACAAGGTTCAAAAGCTACTCAATAAAGAGGGTTACTGTAGGGAGTTATAAGAGAAAGCAAGAAGTGCAGTTTATGAAGTTATAAAAGAAAGATAACAGTTAATTTTACGCTTGAAGAAGTTAAGATTATAGTGATTGGGAAAATATCTTGCAGGAAATGTGTTCTTAGGAAGCTGTCCAAGTGGAACTTCTTACTCATGGAATACAAAGGAATGAGGTTGATTCATCCTTATCCTGTAGCTCGTCAGAACACTTGCCATGGAAATAGCGAGAGACATGCAATATTTAGTCTGTGGGAAAGGGGTTGTAGGGGTGGAAAATAATTCATTATCATCACCCACAAGGTTGCGTAAACACTTTTTGAACTCTCTCAAGACAGGCATGTAAGGACTGGGCAGCTCCAGCCCAGATAAGGTAGCAATATTCCATTTTTGGTCTGATCTGGCTCTTGTAAATATAGAGTATAGTCAGAAACTTATTAAAGCTTCACAATTAACCAACCATTTTTCCAGCATTTTTAGCAATCGCTCGGATATATTGTGCTACTGGAAGTGTGAGAAGATAGATGAAGTCCAAAGAAATTCAACATATTACTGCTTTTATTACAGAGAAGTCTGAATCAAAAGAGATTCATTCAAGTTACTTATCAGTATCATTCCAGAAAACAACAGCTGCTCATGAGCCCTTCAAAGAGGAGAGAGATTGTTGGAAACTTACCATCTATCTCCAAGAAAGTCTTTTCAGTAACAATTTGTAAGAGACACTCAATTTTGAAAAAAAAAATCCTTTTTGTTTTATACTTTCTTTTTTCTATTACACATGGTGATGGAGGAGGAGTTTGTCATTTCAGGAAGCCAAATTTTACAAATTAGGCTTTTTTTCAAAAATGCTATTAATAATTTCAATAAAGTGACCAAACAATAATGTAGCTTTTTGTTTCTAGATGATTTTGGGGTGATGCTTTTCTGTAGATTTTGCCATTTTCATTTAATTCTCATTTAGGATTGTAGAATTCTTTGCGAATGTTGTCTCAGAAACTCAACAAGTTAGATTAAGGGCTGAAGTATGAGGTACAAAACTATCAAGCTGGAGCAATGTATCCAATAGGTGGCCTCTCTCTCTATATCATATATATATATATATATATATATATATATATATATGGAGAGTGAGAGAAGTGGTAAGATATAGTTTATCATATAAAATTGAGAACAATCAATGAAATGAAATAAAGGCCACCATTGAAAACAACGTACTTAAATTTTAAAGCGATCTGTAGTACGTGTAATTCCATGAGCCAATGATGCCGTTAGTGCTTATACCAAAATAGCCATCAGTTTTAATACTTGCTATAACTCAAATTGATTCCACATTTGCCGCCTTTAATTTGAATCCTTAAAAGGTGTCTTGATGGATATTGTCTTAATTAGCAAGTGTAGACGTTTTTTTTTTTTTTTTTTTTACACAACACACTGTGCATAAAGTAAAAGTTTGAAGTGTAATGGATTTAGACAGGGTCAAGTTCTTACACTTTCACAACTAATACAATGAGGATTATGAAATTAAAGCCAGTTTAAAATGTTTGGATATGTCAGAAGTGCATTTCCAGAATCAATGAGGGAATATCCGAATATTGAATGTGTTATATACCGTACATATGAACACTAATGGGCATGTCCCAATCCTCATAAATACATTGGACACTATTGTAAGTGTGGGTAATATGCTGTCTAAGTAATCCACCACTAGCAGTGGTTTACCTACTTCACGCCGCTGGCAAGTATTGTATTTTGTTGATGTTATAAAGATTACCATTTCATTTCCACCTTCCATTTTGGTTATTCCTCATTTAGTAACCCTTTCTAGGTTACAACAGAATGGCTATTAGAAATTTAAACAATAGCTTTGCAAGTTTTATTGCCAAGTATTTTCGGGAATAAAGTTCTTGCATCTTTATTAGGGCTAAGCCATTTAATTAATTTAACCTATTCTCTGCAGATTCAAAAATTTTTCTTACAAGGAACACAATCTCACATCTTTTAAAGATTTTGCTTTAAGATAAAATATAATCAAAATAGCTCAAATAGAATGTGTCATAGATTGTTTAAAATTTCATTCTTTATAAAATGGTGAGTGACAATTTAGTTTGTCATAAGAGGACAAAATATTCTTGTTATTCTATCCAAACTTTTCACTGATAGTCTTGAAAATTAAAACAAGCTACTCCATGAAGTTGTAACAATCCTCATTTCATTTACTTAGTAACCTTTGCATAACAAAATTTTTCTAAATGTTAAAAGAATGAAAATAGGGCAGATGGCCTCACCGGATCAGTTCTTCTCGCAAAGCCAACTCTCTTTCGTGCTCAGCCTTTTCCAGTTTGTCCCAAGCCTTGTTGATGTCAGATATCAATTTACCTTCCCTGGGAAGGTAGGGCCTCTGGTTGTTGGCCCGCATCTTACTTTGAAGAGTAAACAGAAGAACTTCGAGGTTCCCTTTCTCGACAAACCTGAAAATATTCAGTTAATGACAGTTTAAGGAATTCTATAAGGCAAAGTGAATATACTGAAAAAAAAAAAAAAAAAAATCCACAAACAAAAATCAATTTAAAATGACAAATATAAAATTGTAATAATGCCTCACAAATTATGATATAGCTGCATATTTTCAAGTGATTTTCCCAAAATAATTTATATACACACACACACACACACACCTTTAAACGTTATTTTTAGTGGATACAGATATTTGATATTTTAAACAGTATTTTGTCTACTGACTTGCTCATTCAAGAAACCTAATTAAAGAAAATGCACCCTCCAGCAGGATTCGAACTGGCCCCAACTCCGCGGACAGGAGAACATTGTTTTAATGATGTGCTTTTTGACAACTCAGCTACGAAGATCTTCATAAGTTACTCGTTCAGATTCCTTCGAAAGTCGTAAGTGCTCAGTTTCAGAAATGTTACTTTTAGTTGATAATCCATATTTGAGTAGATGCCCCTTTTATTTTAAACAGTACTTTATTTCTTCTAGAAATTCAGCTAACATAAAAATTCATGTTTTTTTTTTCCCCCCCTTTTCATTGTTGAACTAAAAAAAGAAAAATTCTTAAATTCTTAATCACTAGATTTGTCAGTCATGGAATGAACTTATTTCTGCATAGATGATCTTAAAATAAAACATCACATCAAAAAACAATTTTTATTTTTATTATTTTGGAAACTAGCAAAACAAACTTGTTTTAAGTACAAATTTTCTCACCAAAACATTTCATGATTAATTTTAATAACTCAGAATGTATTAGCACAAACAAAATATCTTTAAAATCAGACAATTTTTTTAATAATTTAAATAGAGTCAAAATTTAAGGAAAATGGTACACACAAATTAACTTAAAATATATTATGCCAACTTTGAAATATAAAGTTTTCAAAAAGAACTTTTAATTTTTTCTTTTAATCTGCCATGAACAAAAGCTAGTCATTTTTGAGGTTTTAAAGATTTGACAATTGAAAGATTTTTTAATAAAAGGGACAAACAGTTAATACATCAGTATAGGGGGGGAAAATGCCATAAAAAAAACAAAAAAAAAAAAACAATAATATTGAATAATATTTGAATTTAATGTTTTCATACTATTTAATTTTTTTCTCGCCAATCTTTAATCTTTTAAAATCTTTTCCTGCCAATTTTTTCTATAATGAAATAGTGAATTAATATTGCCAATATATATATATATATATATATATATATATATATATATATATATATAAGTAGGTTTATAATTAAGCATCTATGCTCATTTATTGGTATTACTGAAAGAGTTTTCGTCCAAGTTTTTTTCTACATTTCACCTTTTAACTTACTTCGAAAGCATTTTGAATTAAGACTATTTTTCATTGCTACATCCATTTTCCCCCAAAAAATTCAACAGATGTGTTCATTTTGTGCAAAATATCAGCCACAAAGAATAAGGATATGCAGTTCACTTACTTCGGGGGTTTCTCTACAGTACGGTATGTGTTAAATCCTGTCAGTTGTTCTTGTACTCCAGTTAAAGAGTTGGCAAATTTTCTGTCATTCAGAATAACAATTGTCTGTTCTATCCATTCTAAGAGTTCAGAAGTTAGAGTTTCATACTCTTCAATCATCTTCTCTGTGTCAATAGCATTGTCAATTACCTGCAAAAAAAAACAAATACATATAGTGCTGAAAAATAGTGAAAGAAAAGGGAATTTCTTGAAAACTTGAGTACAAATTTTTACTTAAATGCAAAACTAATTATCCATAAAATTAGAGAAGCTCCCATTTAGTGTAACTAAATTTCTTTGAGTCTCCAATTAGCTATACCACATTAATTCAAAATTAATACCAAAGGGTTGAAAATTTTGTGGGCGACCAGGAACCTCTTCTCGCCACTGTCAAATGGAGAAAAATTGCATGGTTTGGAGAGGTTACATGGCACGACAGCCTATGCAAAACCATCATGCAAGGCACAGTTGAAGGTGGACTTAGAAGAGAATGCTAACACAAAAACTGGTTGGACAGTGTCAAACAATGGACAGATATGACTATACCAGAATTGCTGATGGCTGCCATTTATAGACCGTTGCAGAGGAGATTCAGTATGGCTTCTGCATTTGGATCAAAACCCACAATTATAAAAGGGGATGACGATGATGAATTCAAAATAAGGAGTAGCATTAAAAATTTATTGAATACTATAGGACCTCACCATACGAAAAATTACTGTGTTTATTCACATGTTCATGGTTGGACAAAACTTTTATGAAACTGAAGCTACTTTACAAGAAACATTATGAAGGAGAAAAAAAAGACAATATCCTTTTTTTAATAAGAGCATTTTGAGATAAAAAATTAAAATATATATATATATATATATATATATATATATATATATATATATATATATATATATATATATATAGGAGGATATTTGAATTTAGGAGTTATCAATTCTTGATCTGAGAATAGCTCATATTAATAAAAGTTCACTTCATTGACTGCTCAAGTGAAGTCGTCCAATTCATTTCATTTTTACAGTTTGCTACTTAAGTTAAATATAGTTCTTAGTGTGGAGAGTTGCATCCCTTCCGTCATCAAATAGGCGATTACTGTGAAGAGTCCTGCCAGTATAAAATTTTTCAACCTATAAAATAAGCGTGCAGCTTTCAAAGAAACATTCTGCCGAGAATTTTAATCTAAGTTCAATAGACACAGAACAAAATATTTACCTGGGAGAGAAAATTATCTGAAAAATAAGTGTGCCATACCAAACAAGCACTATGGTAACTAAATGAATTAGTTCACAAGAGTACCATGACTAATAAGGCTCAACAATATATAACAGTATTAATTTCTTAAAAACCAGGTATTAAGCAAAATAGTTATATCCACATTTTTTTTTTTCTTAAATGTTACCAATAAAATGGTAAATTCTGTGTTGCTGATGTTTAAGGTGCGATAGAAGTGATGTGAAATACTAAAACTATTTCTTCTTAATCTGACAAAACAGCTTCCATCAATGTTTCTCAATCATGTTAATCATTCAAGAAAGATGAAACATTGTTTACAAAGTTTACTTACTCTTCCAATTCTCTTGCCTTGAACAGATTCAGCCTTCATTCTAGAGAAGTAATGATAGTAGGTTACCACATATGTGATCATAGACTTCTCATCAGGAATTTCAACGTTGACATCTGAAGAAAGACAAAAGTCACAAAGTTTTTGTAATGAAAATGCATCAATGAAGATTCCATCAGTGTAAGGAGACAATTCCATTCCACTTGTACATATTTAAATAGAACATATCTAATAACATGAATAAATTGAATAGATTGAAATGTGGAATTGTTCATCCAAATATTTGAAAAGCTGATTTAATCTTAATTCATTTTCCAAGTGTTTATTATTCCCACAGCAAAATTAATCTTGAACTTGACAAAATTTATACATGAAAAGCTTTTGATATTTATATTTGTACTTCCATGTTTGTCTGTTAAATACAATGAAAAACAAATGATATTTTGAAAACCCAATTGGTATACAAGAAAATTAAGAGCTTAGCATACTTCACTTGAGTTGTCTTTTATATTTAACTCCACGCAAATTATTTCACTAAAGTCATTTCATATAAACACAAAAATAAAAAAACAATGTTAATACAAAAGGATCTAGAAGAGTTCAACATCGTTTTAATTTCCATGTAAAGCAAGTTTTCCTAACATTTAAAAAATTTCTTAATGTCGTACTTTCATGTAGTAGTTTATCAAATGTCTGTGTAATCGACCAAACCGATACAAATGCTTATTTGTATTGATAGAATTCTGATCATGAAAATTACATTTCTTGTTCCAGGGTCTTGAAAAAGCCACATTGTTCTTGCCCTATTCCAGGTCTAATCCTGCTACAAACTCTTTAATAATATTTATAGTTTTGTTCATCAAACTAACTGTTCAATGGAATTTGCATTTATTTGCACTTGGTTTCTTTGGCCCTACTTTGAAGATTAATCTACTGTGGTCCTCTAATATTTTACCAGTATTATTTTTCATTTATCACTTTGGTAACCTTATCAATCTCAAAATCCTCTAAGGTTGATGGCATCTCTATTACAATCTTATTTCATCTAACTGCTTTGTTCTTTTTTATGAGTGTGTACCTAACCCCACATTTTAGCATTACATCCTTTTCATGTATATATATATATATATATATATATATATATATATATATATATATATATATATATATATATATATAGGAGGTTTTTCTCCACTGTCATCATGGAAGCTATTTCCAAAAGATTCATTCTGTCATACCTATTCTCCACATTGATCATTCTCTCTTTAGATGTTACACGTTCTGCTGAAGAGCCCATTTTTTTGTGCCATTATTTCTTTTCATGCATAACTGATACATACATGTTTTACTGGTTTTCACCTTCAATATTTTAAGTCATCTATCTTTTGTTTCCTTGCACTTTATGATATTTTTACTTAACCACATATATTTTGCACATTATCTGTTGTCTGACTTTCAATAAGTTAAGATTTTAACTTGCCATTTTTTGGCCTGTCTTACCTCAGGATAACTTTGCTGTTGTCCCATTGTTCCCCCTTTGAGTTCACAACCTCTTCTAAAAGTTTCATATTTGTCTATATTGGTGAGATGAGTTATTGTAACTATTTACACTTTTACATCATTCAAACTTATCCTCATCTTTTTTTGCCATATTCATGACATTTCGGCTGTTGCACACTCCAACCTTCAGGATCTGTCTATATTTCTGAGATATAGTATTGTAACTATTTATACTATTTACATCATTCGGACTTTTGTCCTCATCTTTATTACCATATTCACAACATTTCAGCCATTGTACACCTTGGCCTTCTTTAGATATTTGTTGTAATTTCAAACAGTCCTTTATTTAGTCCACAGGTGTAGATTGCGCTAATTCCACATGCTATGCCCTTGGATATCTCAGTTTTATATAATTCTCCTTGATAACGCTCCAAGTTTTTGTCCTCTCTGCTGTGATATCCAAAGGCATAGTATGTCAAATTAGAACTATTTACCCCCATAAAGGGTTCAGTTCGAAATTCCAAAACGTACAATGGTCAAAACATGGATAGGGCAATAAAGATGAGGACAACAGTTCAAACGAAGTAAGTAGTTTCATATTTGTTAACAGCAATTACATGTTTTTGTGTTTTTTTTTGTTTTGTTTTTTTAAATGGAGCCACAGTGTAGATAATCTCATTAAAATTTAGGCATTGCTTTGCCTCTCTTTATGTTTGCATATGAGTAGGAGGTGATCACTCCTGCAGTCAGTGTTTGGCTAAAAATCAATAGAAATCAATGATTCTAATTATGAAAAAGCCAAATAGAAATTTTATTGAATAGTGACAGGAAATAGAACTGAATATATCGGGAATTAAATACTTATTTTTAGGAATACAAAGATTAAGTAAAGAACAGAAATGCTCAGAGAAAATCTGATGACTCATATATGATAATCAATCAGGAGAAAGGCTCGACAATGTAATGAAAATTATTCAAGGACTTGCAAAATAAATTGCTTGCATCTTTATTATATACAACTATAGAGTTTAACTCTTTGAAAAATTGCTTCTGTCCAATTTGGTAGGAATTAATTTTAATAAAGCTGCATAAGAAATAAGAGGAAGAAAGATTTTTGAAATGGCATGATTGATATAGAGAACAGGAAAATAAGATGTATGTAATATTTATGGGAAAGAGTGAATAATAATGTACCAAGAGAAAGAGATGAATAAAAAAAAAGGGGGGGGGGTATTTATTATTGATGTGAGAGAGAGAGAGAGAGAGATACAGGGATGGCTAAGTGAATAGTGTTTCTTGTTTCCTAAAAAGAAGCCATTTTGAAACAAATGAAAAAGAGGAGATAACGATGAGAAGGCGGCAGCAGTGGTTAGGGTGATAATCAATACTGTCTGCTTATAATGAAAAGGCTTCATTGAGAAGATTTCCAACTACCAAGCAGCAGCAGCAGTCTGGCTGGTAGCAGCCTGCATTCCATAGAGACAGAGTCAGAAGGCAGGAGGGAAAGAGGATTGGGGGGGGTAGCAGATGCTGGCAGAAAAAGAAGCCAAATACTTGTCATTCTGACAAGTGGCAATGTAGCCAATGACAGAATCAGATGCAGCCAGGGAACAGCAGTGTGTTGGGCAAAGCAACATGGTGGGAACACACTGAAAGTCTGGTGGACATGTAAGAATATCACGGATGAAGACTTACAATGATTCACACACCAATGTGTTATTGAGTCAGTTATCATTTAGAGAAAACAAAAAGCAGCACTAACATAAAAGGCAGGCCTCGTATTGATTTTAACAAAAGAACAATTTGCTCTAAAACTGAATAATACAATGACGTAGATTCATGCATATCAAGCGGAAATATTCCCTTTACATCACTTTGTGCCTTTTTCAAGCGCAGCAAAATCAGACGGGATCTTTGGGGATAGGGGCCATTGCATGAGTCATTCAGTATAAAGAAACGTATTAAAAGTTACTGCTGCAAATCTTTTTATATAGAGAGAACATGATAAAAGAAAAACAAATTTTAGGCTCAAAAGAGAATCTTATTTGGGAAGAGGATGAAAAAAAATTTTATTTTTATCTTTTGTTCAAAATATATGCAAATAAAAATAGTAAAAAAAGATGCAAACATATTGAATTATTTTTGTACTAAATTATAAGAAAATGAAACAAGAATTAGTTTTACTAAAAACTTAAAACCCATTCTTACTCTTGTTTATAACTGTACACTACATTGCCAATTCTATGTGACACTGTTAGACAGACATAAATAAGATACATGAAAGGTTAACTGAATTCTATATCTTAGCAATTTAGCCTTAAATAAATGAGTTTCATTTGTTATACTTCTATTCATTGAAATAGGCAAGTCAAGGTCTTTCACTAAAAAGAAAGATTGTCAATACACAAAGGATGAAAAACTAAAATCTTTTTACAATGTTAATTTTATATTCTCCAAATCCGACATTCATACAGAATCCTAGTTTGTTTTTTTGCTGGAAATGCCTCACCTTCTGGGTCCAACAATTTGGTTATACCAAGTTTTTCTTCTGCAACTGTGAAGGCATTGTTCAGATTGTGCATAGCATTGGATTTCTGGAGCTTGTCATACTGAATGAGGTCAGGCCTGAAAAGATAAACCAAATTTTAAACAAACATTTAAATAATTCTATAAAGAAAAAACAACTTTTAAGTGCTGCATACAATGTAAAAGTTTTAATAAAATTCAAAAAACAGCTTAAACTGTAAATTATATTAATCAACTTGTTTCAATTTCTGAATTTTGAAAAGACACTAACATCTTAAGTATTCTTGAATATTAACTTTAAATTTTTTTTCTTGAGTTGACCAGTATAAGAATAAACACTGAATTAAGAATTCAATTTTAATTTTACTCTTATAATATGGTCATGAAATGCAAAATCATTTTTTTTTCCATTCAGGCTCTCCAAGATTAAATTTTTTTCAAATATTTATTGAATTTATCTGCAAGAAAGCTGATGGGGGACAAATCAGAATTATTTGACTCCCTATTGTATTTAACAACCCACATATAGAATTATTTTGCCTTTCTGGCCAGGATTTACTTTTAATGATTGCAGCAGATTTGTAGAGAGACAACAACAAAGGAAAAAAAATTACAAAAAAATTATTACATTAATGATTACATTGAAAAAGACATCAGACACAAACAATTTGGAAGACATCAACAAAAATATTAACAAAGGTTTACCAACCAACTAAGACAATACAAAAATATTTATCTCTAATTAAATCATTAATTAAATATCATCCATCACAGAAACAACATATTTTTCATTTTAGCCTTTCTCTTGTTAGAAATGATAATAGGAAGTATAGAAAATTTATTTTTCATTATTTTTAATGAAAAAAGGATTAGTATGGACACATGACAGAATACATAATTATATATGTATATTATTTAATTAATTTCAGTCACTTTTCTTTGTTAGGTGCCACGCTTCGACAAGCATGTCTCTTTTTGATTCATGATTGACTTGGCAAAATTCCTACAGTAGGCTCCTGTTACTTTCTGTAGTAGACTAGTTGCCAACGAAGGCTGTTCTGCTATTTAACCCATAGCTGTGGAGAGAAAAAATGGATTCATACCTTTTCCAAGGGTATTTGCACATAAGTGAATGCAACAAACCCTAAATGGAATTTGAACACAGCTCTCCATTTTCTCATTCCAAGCCATTACTCATCATGCCTCCAAGCTTATAGTTGGTATTTCCAAGCAGTCACCAATCTAGATACTGACTGGGCTCAAAGTTCTAGTCTGATCACCTGTGATCAGACTAAAACCAGTGATATGATGGTAAGTTCAGTTGCATTGAATTCAGTTAAACTGCTTCATTTTATCATTTTTCTGTTTTCGCTAAGAACTTCATTTAGATTAGTGTTTCCCAACTTTTATTTAATCAGCACCCACTTTAGGCCCAAATTTTTTGTCAACGGCCTTTTGTAAAATTAAATTTTGAATATTATACTGAATTCATCATTCATAGCAAGTTAACACTTAGGTTACTAGCAGAAAAACAAACTTTATATTGGTTTAATTTCTATTATAAATACTAATGACTGAAATGCAAAATACTTAGTTGATACCTTATATCAATGATTTCATTACAATGGTTGAATTTGCTGCTTACTGGCTAAGACTCTTACTTTAGGTTTCATGCTGCTTAGACGTAATCATAGATCTTTTAGGCAGTTTCTTTGTTTAGTAAGAAGCTGTGGCATTGGAACCACATTCAGCCATACAGGAATTTGGAAAAGTAATGAAGAAAAGTGTTTTAGATACCTTTCAGAAATGTCCTTTTGTAGCCAATATTGAATAATTTTTGTAAATTTGAAAAAAAAAAATTGGTTAATGCCCACTGCTCCCAAGTATGTTCATCACCCCCACAAATGTAATAAAAACTTCCAGTGACCCAGTTTAGAAGGTAATAATAGCATCAAAGTTGGAATTTCACAAATCTTAACTTCAAAACACATCAAATGTAGATAGGTATGAAATCACCAAAGTAATGTGTTGAAACAGACTGCAATTTGCTTTATACATGAGCTCATGAAATTGAAATTACCAACTAAAAAGATGTACACTACTTGGTTGATATTAGTGACAAAAACCAGAAAGTATTGCAATTGAAACAATGTACAGGAAATGTGTTAAAAATGACACATGTAAAAAGTTTTTCTTACATGGTAATTTTGTATTAAAATGTCAAAAAAAATTCCTTAAAAGGTGTGCAACTATTATTTACTTTTACTTTACACTGATTAATCTGTTATCAATTTAGAGCTGCATAAACATTAAAAAAAAAAAAAAAAAATTCTCTAAAGTCCATAAGAGAAAAATAATTCTATGTCTGATATTGGTAAGCTGGACTATTATCAAGGGAAGAAGTCAGAAAACTGATACTCACCTATGTTTGTGAATGATGGCATTGAAAGCCAAGCCATCTCTCCAGCTGGTAGTGAAATTACGGACATTGACGTTCGGGTATCCAGCAGTCTTCATCTGGCACCAAAGCAAAAGGGCATCTTTGGCAGATTTTGTCTCACTATTTTCAGTTTCTTCAATAATGTCTTGAATCTGAAAACAAATATCATAAATTAATATAAGTAATTATTTCTTTGTTCTTGGTCACCAAATCCAAAAGATGAAATAAAGAAGAAATACTTTTTCTTTTTAAAGACAAAACTCGGTTTAATTATCTTTCTGTCAATCAATCTTTTCCGTACAGTTAGCTTAAATACTACGGAAAGTTTATCATTAGACTTAACCAAGCCATTTAAAGTGAACTTTGAAACTTTGCTTTTTCATGCCAACTTACCTGAAATCTACTTTTAACATTTAGTCACAACTATATTATTTATGTTCTTCTATCCAGTCAGTATCTTCCCATCTACTTAATTATTCCTCCATTACTTGATTTATTGTTTGTTCATATTCCTATAACTGAAACACTACTTTTGTATAGTATGGAAATAAATTTTGTATTAATTTTAATTTGCGGTTTTCTTTTTCTTTTGTTGACCTGTTAGATTCATGTCTTATTTTAAAATGTTAGCAGGCCATTCCGTAACCTATTCTCTTTTAGGTGCACTGGCCATTTTGTTATCAGACCCACTCCAGGGGGGCCCCACTACAAGTTAGTGACCCAGACACGATTTGAAAACGCAGCCTTTTGACAATGTTTTTAGTTTTTAACCCCCACCATCAACAAGACAGTTAAGCCACTAGGATGCAAGGAGGTCACTGAGAGTGAAAGAATTTAACTAAAACATTGAGGAGAGGGGACAAAAATAGTACAGGATTCAAGGAGATAAGTGACAATTTTTTTGAAGATCCTAGTTGACAGAAAAACAAGCTGGAAGAGAGTTCCACAAACAAGAAGTGTGAGAGAAGAAACTATTAGAATAGAACTTGCAGTTACTTCTAGCAATTTCAACAATTAAATAATGAAACCTAACTGCCAATCGAGTACTGCACTTACAATCATGAAGGCAAGGCACCAAAGATGTAAAGCTCATCAGAATTACCATGAAAATATTTACAGAAAAGGTACACAGAAGCAAGATTATGGTAGTGGGAAAGTGGCTGAAACTGACCTATAATGTTACAGATTCTTCTTTAAATTTTGTTAAGAATCTCTAGATGCACCAGACTTGATGCTGCAGCAATATTCAATGCACAAATGAATAGTAGCCTTATAAAGGACTTTCTTAGCAGCAAACTTAACAAGTGATTCAATATAATTATTCCATTTCATGACAGTAGAAAATATTTGACTGAGAAGGCACAAAGACTTACTCTCCTGGAGGTTAGCATCAGCCATGTTGATGGAAGGTAAAAGGCTTCTCTATGACAATTAAAACAGAGCATTATCATTTTGAAGTTTTTAAAAATGCCACGAGAGTGATGATGCTTCCATTGCCAAATGACAATATATTTTCCTAATTATGTTGAAAATTTTTTTTTGTTTTTGTTCAAAGATAAAATTCTTGTAGCATCAACAACTGACACAAACTTTTGTTTTCAATTTAACACATTGTCATCAGGATTTGACTTTGTGAAGGTATAAAGATTAATTATTAGCAAAAGATGTTAAAAGGAACAAAAAAAAAAAAAGGTTTTATTATTGTACTTACCTGGAAACGAAGGATGATAGTCCATATGAGACCGAGTGTAAGTCTGGCACTGCCATCTACAATGTCGTGAGCACCCATATTTTCAAGGTGGACTTTTTGTTCATGCAGGAACGTCAATGCTTTATCCACATTCTCTAGGCAGTGGATCCTCATTTTGCCCTTTGTTGGTCGAGGCTGAAAGAACAATAACGTAAACAAGTGAGAAACATTTTCAAATCTAATACGAAAAATAAATAAGCCTAATATTAAGAGAATATTAAGAGAATTGTGTACAAAGTTTCTTATTTTGCTATTTCAGGGGAGTGGATATAATTCAGCAATTGGAATCAAAAAATACTGTAACATTCATTTCTAACAAAATGTACTTGTTGACAAATCATGTGTAATAATGGAAAGTTAATAAATATCCTAAATAATCATGGTTTATTTCTTATAAGAAAATTATGAAACCATTCTAAATCCCACTAGTTACTTAAAGAAAGAATTTTATAAAACAAACTGCAAACATTGCTCAAATTTATTTATAGAATGACTATTTGAGAGTAGCTATAAAGAAAAGAAAAAAAAAGAAAAATGAAAGAAAAATGAAAGAAATACTATGAGTCAAATCAAGAATGATTAACAATGCTCTAAAGAATTTCAAAGAATATGTTACTTTTCAAGAAATGACATGTACAACTAAGTTCAGATTTTTTTTTTTTTTTTATTTGTGGATTTGAATTTTCAGATTTAAAAGAAAATTTATTTCAAGATTATGACCCTACTTTCACAATATCATTTTCATCAATATATCTAACAATTTATTTAAAAAAAAAAAAAAATATACTGTTAACTTTGCTGATTAATAAGATCAGCAAAGAATAAGTCTTTCTGTTTTGTGTGTAAAAATGCAGGCAGAAAAAAATAGAGTATAATTTAATAATAGAATATTTATAGGTGGTGTTTAAATGAGTTAAAATAGGCATATGACAAACTGAAACCACATCCTTAAGTGATTTATTAATGAACATGTTCAACCGATCTCGAAATTATCATAATTACCTCCCGTTTTTAAAGTGAACTGTCATAAGTAATTAAGCTTCAAAATAAGCCTAGTTGAACCTAATCAAAAAGAAATAAAGATGTAATACAACAGCAGACATTGATTAAGGAATTAATTCTAATCTGGCTGGAAAGTTATTTTTCTTGCTCCCTTTCCCTCCTAACTATTTTTTTTTTTTTTTTATCTTTGTGTCATTGTTAAAAAAAATAAATAAATAAAAAAAAATAATAGTAACTAAAAACTGGCAGAAGGCAGATGAAAAAGGTGCAAAATGAAAAGGTGCAAATAAAACCAGTTGGAAATCTGGAAAGATTTGTATTCAAATGGGAAGAAGGGGGTAAACAAAACTAAATCAGCTTATTTGCATGATTAAGAATTAATTCCACAAACAACAAATGACCAAATAGGATAATCTTTGGATAAAGAAGGATCAAATACTACAGTTAAGAAATAATGAAATTTATCAGAAGTTAAAAAAAAAAAAAAAGGTTCATCTTGAGTAAAACAAAATGAGAAAATAAAACTATTTCATACAAATGTGTATGGTGAAAGATTTATAATACATCAATAAGTGACGCATTTACTTTGCCACACTCCCCATGATCAAAATTACAATCCTTGCTACAAATCTGTGCAAGTTTGTTATTTTAAAAGAAAGATTATATTTAAATACATTTATTAAACAAAAATCACAGCCAGACATTTAAAAACAAAATAGATGAAACAAAATAAATTTTAATAATAAATTGAAGCTGTAATTAATTTTACTTCTTTTCTCTTAATTTCATTTGCTTCTTTTATTGCAGAATGCTAGAAATAAGAGTTAAAAATTAATAATTGACAATGATTCATTTAATAATAAAATTGAAGTCTTGATAAAAATGACATTTGGTTAAACCTTTTAAAACTAATCTTACATTTCAAATAATACAATCTTTTTTTATTATTCATTATATGAACATTTATACTATTTACATAGTTTGGACTGTTGTCCAGCTTTTTTGCCATATGTGGAGGGAAAAGGGAGATCACTGTCCCCTGTGGGATGTGGTTGAAATAATAGATCATCACTGGAAAATACAAAAACTTAAGGAATCAGCACGTATGCTAGGCCACAAAATTCTCCTAAGCCGGTCAAACATAGACATGAATACAATATAGGAAACAGTAATATGGAGTGCTAGAGAAAAACAATAATAAATTGTAATATGAGCTCTGGTAAAAAATAGAACTGAGACATTAGGTTTATAAATCTCAAAAATTCGTACACTCAAAGACATCACCCAGTGAATAAAAGTGTTGGTTGAAGTAATCTTAAAGAGTTGTGAGTTCAATACCTGGCTACAACAGAGGTGAACAATAACTTGGGAGAGTTGTGTTAAAGGGAAATAACCGATACTGAAATATCTGGAAGCAGCATATCACATGGAACTAGAGAACATCTACCGCAAAATAAAGGGTTCAGTTTGAAATTTATTTTGGAATATGGCAACAAAGATGAGACCAACAGTCCAAACAATGTAAATAGTGTAAATAATTACAATACTTCAATCTCAGAAATATAGACAGAAACATTTATATATTTAAAGAGGGAACAAGTTAAATAATGGTTTTCACTTCTACAATTAAATGTTGCTGAAAAGTTTCAAATTTGGACTTCTACTACAATAGAGATTGTCATTAGACAGTAATTAGAGCTTTACCATTAGCTGATGCTATACAATCTTTCCGAGAGCTAGCTATTACATTTCTAGGTTTGTAAAATATGTCTCGGCATTCACCCAAGGTGGGCTGATCCAATCAATAACCATGTTGTATCTTGTATCAGGCTCAAACATGCCCAGTAGCTTCTGATGTATTTACTGAAACTCAATCCTGACTACAGCAGCAAATCCCATATACTATAAGGATTAAGACCTGGACGAAGCCTAACCGTGGAATTGGTTTGGGTGTAATCACATCACAAATAAACTTGACAAAATGGTGACAGAATGTATAAACAAGCCAGCAGAGTTTCAATGATCAACACAAGGTGTGAACAATGAAGGATTTTCACATTTGAGGTGTGGTCAAACAAAATATGCAATGTAAACAAAACTGATTGAACACTGGTCACTTGCTCTTTTTCAAGCCCATTGGATTTCCTTTCTTGACCAGAGTTGATTGATTGCTTTTTTTGTTTTCTACGGCTTAACTCTTTCCAAGTTACTTAAAGTCGAAATATATTTTGGAGTGTAAGAATAATTTTTTTTTTTTTTTGATTGCATTAATAATTATTTGGAGAATAACAATGATTTTTCCAGCTATTTAACTTATAAACTCATAGTGATGGAAGTTATTAGTTCATAAGTGAATGTAATAAACCAAACTGGAATTTGAACTTGGCTCTCCAATTTCTCATTCTAATCTATTACACCATCTGCACAACCTCTTGACCAGAGACAAATGCTGGAGGCAAACATTTCTGATACGGCTATTAATTTCGTCCTTGATTTGGCCAATTGGAATAAGAGTGGAACCAATATACTTGGTATGCTCATTGGGCAATCTGTCAGGATGAGCAACACTATGTGATGTAATTTTAGTCTTGGTGGCATTAACCAACTTGCAAGAAAATGAATCGACATGGTCAGTTACTTGATAGATTTCATGTTTAGTATCAAAGAGGATTGCAATGTCATCAGCATAATCCAAGTCAGTAAGATGGAAACTTTTGCCTACAGAAATATAATTTAAGAATTCAAATCAATGATGTACTAGTAAAGGAGTGTTGGTGAAAATGTACAACTTTTTTTTTGTATTTCATTTTTGAAATATACTTTTTATTATTTCAAACTGCTGTTCTCATCTTGGTCGATATAAATGTTATGATGGGCAAAGTACCCTCTGACCATCATCATCATGTTGACTTATATGGGATATCTGTTGATTATTTTGTCTGTTATCGTTTGTTCCAGTTGAGTCAGTTTCATTAGCTAATCTAGGGATTGAACTCCTGACCACTACATTAATAGACAGTAACCCATTTAACCAACTCATATATCCACATCACCATCCCGAAGCACATCAGAAGTGTATTTTTGCAATCTCTATATTTAATCCCGAAGCACATCAGAAGTGTATTTTTGCAATCTCTATATTTAATCCCGAAGCACATCAGAAGTGTATTTTTGCAATCTCTATATTTAATCCCGAAGCACATCAGAAGTGTATTTTTGCAATCTCTATATTTAATGTCTGATGCTCCTGATAATTGGTCGTCATGGTGGTTTTCTACTGCTTTTTGATAATTTTTGCATTTCATTTTTAAGATGAGTGAATGTCAATACCTTTATTATTTTGAACTATTCTCATATTGGTTAGTAACTAAGATGAGAACAATAGTCTGAAATAATTGAAATATACAAGACAACTTTCTTCAACAATAGATTTGAAAAATACCATTTTATCAATATAGCAAGCTTTCCTTCTAGCCATCTGATCATAAAAGGTTAATCAGATTAAAAATCTTGGCAGGAAATTTCATGATGTTGCAAAAGGCACCACAGACAATGGTACCAAAAGCTACTGGAAAGTCAATGATGCAGATAACAAATGGTTGTTGGTAGCAGAAACACTGTTTAAATATTCTACAGAATGAAAATTCGGTCAATACAACCTCAGCTTGTATAGAATCTTGTTTGATTGGGCCTTGTGGGCAAATGGTGTTCCTAGAGCCATTTTAAGGGATAGGAAATAAAACCTTAGGATTTATTGTTGATCTATGTTTAACGTGAACAGATTACACAATGCTTCATCTGGTTAGAATGTTTTCTTTACAATGAAATTTAGAGAATTTTCTTGAATTCACAGATTATATATTTTTATACTTATGGCATTTAACGTTAAATGAATTTAAAATCTGCCTCATCAGGAAGTACAAACATTATTGCAGAATAATGTAGGTGTTTAACTATTAACCACTTGCTTATAGATTTTAATTAAAAAATACTTCATATTAAAGTTTTCAGGCAAAAACAATGACTATAGCACAATTATAAATTTTTGTGAGCTAAATTGAATGTCTGTTGCATTCCCCCCCCTCAAAGGATTACAGAGATATAGCACTATGAATTTTGCATTTTTTTTTTTT